GTAGGTTTGGAGATCTCAGCCCTGGAACCCGCGTGACTTTGTCCCTCTGCCAGTACCTTCATGTGTGCGGAGAGTGGTCTCAGCATGGTGGTGGCTGGTCCTGGAGGTCTTTGGCTGCCGGAGCCCTGGTCGGGGTGGGGAGGAAAGCTCAACCCGCTCCCCTCCAAGGGGCCCCGGCGAGGACAGTCAGGCGCAGGGACAGGAGACTGCACTGTTCTCTTCCGGGAGCTGGTTTTTATAGTCTCTGAGTCTTGGCCATTGATGGGATTACGTGGCACCAGGGGGCCAGTTGGTGGGTGTGATTCTTCTTACCTTCTTTTATTTACAACCAGCTTTTGCCCAAGAAAAGCAACTTGGACAAACACTGCTAGAACACCTCCTATTCATTGCATAGTTGATTGATTGTGTGTTTTAGGGCCACACCTGGCCATATTCAGAGGTGACTCCTGATTCTGTATTCAGGAATTACTCCTGGTGTTGCCCAGTGGACCAGAAGGGATGCCAAGGTTGGCCATGTTCAAGGCAAATGCCCTACCTACTATACTATCTCTCCAGTGCCCATTAATTTTTTCTTTTTGGGTCACACCCGGCGGTTGTCAGGGGTTACTCCTGGCTCATGCACTCAGGAATTACTTTTGGTGGTGCTCGAGGGACCATATGGGATGCTGGGAATTGGACCCGGGTCAGCCTCGTACAAGGCAGACGCCCTATCTGCTGTGCTATAGCTCCAGCACCCCCCCCCCCCCCACACACACACACAACTGATTTTGAATTAGTGCATGTTCAGAGATCTTTCATTGTTTCCATATTTTTGGTTCTTACAGCTATAGGTTCTGAACCCCAGAGACCTCATATGGAGTCAGAACTCACCATTTAAGAAGCCAGACCCAGATCACCCAAACCCTTAGAACTATTAGGATGCAGGGTTGGGCACTGAACAAGGTATGTATCAGACGGGTGGAGCTCACTGCATTAGAATAAAACGAAGTGGAGGGTCATCCTTATTCTTCTGGGGACTCACATTTCATTAACCAGATCTCATGAGAGATCAAACTGCCCATTGACTCTGCACAGGGTTTTGTGGTGCCAAACACTATGATATCAAGAAGAATGATGATTGCCTCGTCTTGATTTTCTCCCTGCTAGTGTAAAACAAGCAGCCAGCGATTCCTAGGTTATTGATGTTTCACTTTTCAGAAGGTAGGGGCGATTTTGACCAAGGGTCGCTTACTTGCCTTCTTTCTTTTCTAGAGATTCTGGTTAAATTTCACATCTTTCCCCATGCCCCCTCTGGTGGTCTGAAAACACAATGACTGTGTACTAAATTTGAAGTTGGAGTAGAAAGTGGGAGTAGAAAGTGGCAACATCACTCTCTTCTGTCTAATCAAATTTTTTCTTCCCTCTCTTCTCTCTCTCTTCTCTTTCCTCTCTTCTTTTATTCTCCTTAGTTGCAAAAGGAAGGTGGTGGTGGGATTTGTCCCTAAGTTCTTTTTCATAAACTTAACATTCCACATGTCTAGAATGTTAACTTTTCCTTTTTCTGGCCAAAGTTTTCAAACTATAACAAGTCAAGGCCATTACAAGTTTACTGAATATCTAGCTGCCCAAGAGACTTCGATCTTATAGCCTGAACTGGTCTGTCTAAGTCTGACCAGAATCTTGTATAAAATTCTATTTTGTTCATCCATCATGTGGATCTGGCGCTTGCTATTTTTAATACATGCTCTGCACAGTCCAGTTATTCATGGCTGAGGGTTTGCCACAGAACTTCAGGGCTGTATTTAAAAAAAAATCTCCAGAGAGAAGTAGGAATGCTTCTTTTATAGGCTAATAACATCTGTGAGTGGTGAGTTGAGGGCCACGCTTTCATTCGTAGAGGGATAATGTGTGAAAAAGCAGTTCAAATAAGTTAATGAAGGTCAAGGATGGAGCCAGGAACTGCATCAACTTCTCTGTTTACAGAAGTGAAATGATACAGCATGTGCCTCTGAGAAGTTCATGGTCTCCCAAAACTTAGAGGTTAAAAAGCCTCAGAGAAAATAATTTAGGGTTCTTTTTCTCTTTCCAGTAGAGATTTTAGGGTCTCTTTCTTTATTCACAGGAATTTGTTTACAGAAATTTAGGATCTCTCTACCAATGCAATATCAATATTTATAACAGTTTATTAGAGTTCTATTAGAGCGTATAAAAGATACTTAGTTTTCAAATATTCTCTAAATTACATATCTTTGAAGATGAATGATTTTGACCTGGCTGATGGGAAAAAGAATATAGAGGTTATTCATTGATTCATTCATACAAAATATCCAAAGGCTGAGGCTATAGAAGACACAATCAGATATTTTCTGGATACTGCATGTTTCCTATAAATATATCACAAGAAAAGGGGGGGGGGTTAGAAAAGGTAGAAGGAAAGTGCCTCACTCATGCTTTGAGAAATTAAGATGGAAAAGTGGACTTTCTCCCGGAATGATTTCAAACTGTGATACATAAGCTGGAGAGCGTTGTTTGCAGGGTCTGGGCCTTGGGATAACTAGCCAGCCAGCTGTCTCATAAACGCTTACCATTGATCATGAAAGAAGCACAAACAGATGGGACTGAAAAAAAATGTGTGTGAGCCTTCCAACCACTGGCACAGGTTATCCCACTGTCCAGGTGATGGTAACACCCTCTCAGATGAGGAATTAGGACAGCAACACAGAACAGCAAGAACAAAAGTTTGAAGTAGCTGCTCCATCATTGGAACCAGCATTTATCCAGGCATGTAGCTTCCGGGTTCAATACTTCTGGGGATAAAGCTCCTTACAAAGAGAAACCAAAAACAGAAGGGATTAATTGGTTAGGTCAAAGTTCTTTACTCCAATTCAGTAAGCATTGAGAACTCTCCTGCAGGACTTAAATGCTGTGGGACATGTCATGATGAAGCTGCAGTAAGAAAAAAAAAAAAATTCAGCCCACATCTGGTGGTGCTCAGGGATCACTCCTGGCAGGGCTCAGGGGACCATATGGAGTACCGGGGATGAAACCCAGGTCAGGGTCAAACGTGCAAGGCAAGCTCCCTATATGCTGCACTATCACTCTGGGCCACGGAATATACTTATTACCTGAAGCCTCTCATTCTTTGAAACTTGCAGTAGCAATCATAAAACAATGTCAAAATTCTCTGGTGCCATGAAAGTTTCTGAAATGGTGCGGTGGTGCAGTGAAGGTTTTAAGGAGGGATACACTGGTACTGATTTGGGCAGTGTGTTAGGGAAGTTTTTCAAGTAAAGCAGGTGTGAATGTGGCTTTGGTGTAAAGTTGGAAAAGGAGTTAAGAGAGTCCAGCAGGATCATAACAGGCAGATTATGTTTTGTAAGGAGCACCTTGACAGGACTAGGGAGATAGCTCTGGGGTTAGGGGGATGGGCTTCAAGCTCAGGGTCCAGGTTCTATCCCTGACATCACAAGTGTCTGTTTATACCCCACCGTCCATATCACGCAATCTCCCATACCCCCCCCCCCCCAGCACTTTTGGGTGCGACCCTGATGCCTCAAGGCACTGAAGGCAAGAGAAGCTTTGCATCCTTTGGTCTTAGCATTGGATTGTGGAGTCCAGGGATCTACTGAACAGTACTTCACAGTTCCCCACTCCAAAACACTATGTCAATGGTGTTAGAAAACCAAGTTGAAAAAAGTGGGAAAATTAAATTTAAAATAATAATAGTAGCAGCTAAAACTTAAGTACTTATTTTCTCAGGCATTGCAAGAAGTACCTAATGGACCTTATCTCATATGATCCTTAAAAATAATCTATGAAACAAGAATTACTGTGTCCATCTTATACTGCAAGGTTTGGTCTAGTTTCCAGGCCCGAAGAAACAGTATCTTTGGCAGTGAGAAACCAGGTAAGAAAATGAAAATGCTTCTATCTAAACCAGAGGTTGAGGGATAGAGAAGAGATGGGTTTTGGAAAATCAGGGAGAACGACAACCTTTGTCTTAAGAGCCAAGAGACCTCCTAAGGATTTAAGTCAAAATCCTTATAGTCAGAGAAAACATCTGAGATCCTTTTCTGACTACAAGACCTTGGCTTAGAGGAAACCTGTCTTGTTAAGGAAGTATAACTTACTTGTAGAAGCCAGGACTTCTGCTTTAATGACTGTCCACCCAGATCCTAGCACTCTGCCCGGCAAATAACGGGTGCTCAAATTGTATTTGTTGAATGAGACACTTCCCCCAACCACACTAACACTTTTGTTTCCCCATCTTTTTATTAGAGCAGGCTGGAGCTCATGAACCCATCTATTAAGTCGAATGAGGTATTGTAAAGGACAATTAATTACCTAGCTCAAAGGTAGAGAGATATTTCACGGCTAATGTACAGGTCTGTAACGGGGCTGGTTTGATACGCTCAGTCCTATTATGTTCAGCAATCAACCCCGAAGAGGGCAGGGGAGAGATGTCATCTTCCTTAAAGCAGGTTCCTTCACTATTATTAAAAGGCATCGGAGTTGCTGGGATGGAAATGCGTCCTTAGAGATGTTTTCGCTCGGGACACCGCCCTGAAAACCAGACAGAGGAAGACTCCCTTCTCCTTGAACGCGCTTGGCAAAGCCCTGCCCCCAAAGGGGGTGGAGGTAAAGAAAGAATACGTCCACACCTCGCACGTCTGCCGGAGCACCGATTGGCAAGTGGCATACGCGCGCGCTAGACCTCTGTCAATTTATTTATTTTGCTTTCCACTGGGTGCGCTGTCCCTTTAAATGGGGACGCTGGCGCCGGCTCCGGGGCCCGGGAGCCCGGCAGCTTGTTGATTTCAGAGCTGGTGAATTTCACATTGTTTCCACTTCACTTTCCTTGCGCCGGGGGCGGCGGGGCCGCGGGTTCTGCGGCCGCGGTTGCGGCTGCCAGGGAAGGGCAAGGACCTGCAGCCTCAGGGACTGCTGTACGGGGCGTCGGGGACACACACACACGCGCGCGCGCGCACACACACATACACACGTACACACACACACACACGCACACACACGCACACGCACCCGCGCTGCAGTCGGCTCCTCCGGGAGCGGGGACGCCGGGAGCGCAGCGCCCGCACGGCCCGCCCTGCCGCCCGCGCACGGGGCCGGGGCCGCGGCCCGGGAGCCGGCGAGGGGAGGAGGCCCCGGGGGGCGGGGTGGGGGGCGGGGGTGGGTGCTGCCGCCGCCGCCGAGCTGCTCCTCGGCGCCTTTTGCAGGAACATGGCGGCTCCCACCGCCAGCAAGGCAGCCTCCCTGGGCTGTAACAACAAGCCGGCGTTCCCGGAGCTGGATTTCAGGTCGGGAGCTCGGGTGGAGGAATTGAACAAACTCATCCAAGAATTCACCAAGCACGACCAGCGCGAATACGACGACCAGAGAGCACTGGAGATTCACACCGCCAAGGATTTCATCTTTTCCATGCTGGGTAAGGAGGGGGGAAAGGAAAAAAAAAGCGGGGGCGGGGGGGTGTATGTGTGAGCATGGGTGCGTGTGTGCATGTGTGTGTGATGCGAAGTGGGGCAGGGAACCTTATCCCCCTTCTTGCGCTCGCTTCCCTCCTCCGTTTCCTTCTCCGAGCCGGGTGCCCGGGGTAGGACCATCTCTGCTCCGCCACTTCCCTTCGTTCCGTGCCGCAAGCTCAGCCACCTTCCCTGCCCTCCTTACTATACTTTGCGCCGGCCCCTTCCAAGCCCCCCTCCCTCCCCTTTCGCTGTCTCTTTTGTTAATTTCTCACCGACCCGACGCTAGTGGGCAGGTACGGTGTCAGTGGCGGGACCGCTCTGCCCCGCGGCGGCAGCCCGAGATTGCATCCTGGGATCCGGCTCCCGAGGCTCGGGACTTGCCCCAGCCCACTGCCCGGTCTCGGTCCTTTCCTGAGCTCGGGGCACCGAGACTGCTTGGCGCTCTGGGCTCGGCGCCCGAGCCACAAGTTGCTTCTTTCGAGTCTTTGCAGCGCGGCGCTGTCATGCCGAGCCCCCGGTGGCCCAACTTGTTGGGTGTTCCCTTAGTAACCCGCCCAAGTCGGCTGGGCGCCCGGAGTTCCTGCAACTTTGATTTGCAAATCGGCTTGCCTTTTGGAGCCTTCCGAAGCATTTCCGGTACTTCTCCCACGAGCTCGAAATTCCGAATTCCCATTCCCGGCCCCTGAGAGCACTGAACTCCAGGAACTCTGACCTATCCGCCCCCCTTCACTCTTCTGTGCATTGTCCTTGCTTTGCGTCCAGAGCGGTGCCCCCCCAGGTTCCAGCGGCGGGGAGACGTCCGGGTTAGAATAACGCCTCCAGGCTAGCCCCTACAGGTCCCTACGTAGATTGTTGGTGTGTAAAGGAAAATCATTAGCGCCAGGCCTGGGACCTGGGACCCGCTTTCGGGGGTCCTGTTCGGACTGAGTCCTCTTGCGACCCGAGGGTAGGCGTGGAGCCTGACCGTGGAATCCTGGTCAGCAGAGCTAACGTGGCCTGCGCTTAACCACCCGGCAGAGTGTAAGCGGGACTTGAGCGAAGCGCTGCCCCAACGCGTGTCTCTGCTGCGCTCTTGCACAGACATTCGCAGCCAGTTTCCCAGAGCCTGGAAAAATTTGATTGGCAAAAGTCTTTGACCCAAGAAAAGACAAAGCTTTCGCCTTTCTCTTGCCGGCTCCTTGAGTTTCAGCCGTCTGTCTGTCTGTTGCTAGTTATCCCAGACTCCAGGTTGTCTTCCTCCCTACCCACCCGAGTGAGGGGTCAAACTGGATCCTGGACCCGGCACGGGGAAGTTGAATGAAACATGTGAAAACTTGGGGTTGGTTTTTGTCCTTTTCCTCCACACTCCCTAAATGTAGCTTAGGTGATTTGGGAGACTGAAAAGCTCTCTATTGAGATATTTGATTGTTCAGCTCTCTTTAGATGAGTAAAAAAAAAATGTGTTTTTGAAAGCAGTCTTTAGTGGCAGCGAGTTTTCAGAGAGAGGCTTACAGTCTTACATAAATCAGAAAATTAGAGCAGTGATCGGAATGAGGGGGTGTCACACAGTGAGAGATAGCAGAATACTGAGAGTACTTTTTTGTTTTGAGGGCCACACTCGGAGGTGCTCTGGTCTTACTCTTGGCTGTGTGCTCTGGGATCACTCCTGGTGGGACCAGAGGACTCTCCCAGGTGCTGAGGATCGAACCCTGGTCTGCCATGTGCAAGGCCAGCACCTTATCTGCTGTACTATGGCTCCAGCTCTTGGGAGCACACTTCTTTAAGATGCGTAATCACGGCCAATCTCTTTGAGTAAATAATAGAAATCTGCTATTGTGTTACAGCCCAAGATCAATTCTTCTGTCTATTGCCCCAGGTCAGTCACTTGATGAAAGGTCTACACTATCAGTCAGTGGGGGGGGGGGGGAGGGGGGGGGGGGAGAGGGTTTGGGGGAGGAGTAAGTTTGAAGGGTCAGCTCATTAGAAATTTAACTGCTAAACACCCACAGTTGTTGCGCAAAATTGGCAAATCCTTTCCCCAGATAGAATGTGTGAATTATTCCCAGGTACTTAATTTACACATATGCTTAATGCAATAGTGGCTTTCCGTGGCACTTCTACTAAATTCTCTTCTTTTCAATTTTACCCAGTTGGCCTGGCAAGGGAAACTCCACCCCCACCCCCAGAATTTGATATTTCTATCTGTGCAAGAGAAAATTCAGGAGAGTTGTCGATTAAGCTTTTTTGCCTCTCTAGAGTCTAGAAGGCTTGCCTGTGTGTGGTGCTTGCGGGCGCTGGTGGAACCCCACTCTCTTTTAATGAGGTCCTGGCTGCTCTGGGCAATGTGAAGGTTTGGCGACAGCAAGGGTCCCCTTGCGTGTGTGCATGTGTGTGTGCCTTTCCTTTTTCTAACATGGGATGCTTGGCTTCAAAAACAAAATCTCTCTCTCTCTCTCTCTCTCTCTCTGTGTGTGTGTGTGTGTGTGTGTGTGTTTCACTTGCCTTAGTCTGAGTCTTTCATGAATATGTGAATGAGGTGTCTTAATGACCCTCAGCTTGTTAAGGTATTGCTGCGGTGGCACTGGGCCTTTATTTCTGGTAGTCCTGTGTGTGGTGGTGGAGGGAACAGTGGGTGGGTGGGTGAGTCTTCTTGCAAGTTCTCTTGGCTTTGTTCCCTGTCTGTCTTAGCTGTACCTGAGGATTGTCTGCAGCTTAAAAATCATGATCCCTTCACACAGAATGAAAAATGGCAGAGGAATTCACTGCAAGCCTCTTGATGGAGCTGAGAATAACATATCTCTGTTTTCAGGGAGAGAGTGGCAGCCCCTCTGCATAAGATTGTGAGCCTGGATGGAGCCCCCCCCCCCCCCCCCCCCCCCCCAGCCGCCTTTAACTTCTAAGACCTGTTTTTATTCTAATTTGGAGGCAACTTTACCCAGAAGAGGTAAAGTGGTATGGACTTGTCATCATAAGTGACCAGGAATCTTCATTGTTCCATCAAAGCAGGGGTTCTGCCAGTGACTGTGATAGATCTGCATAGCCTGAGGATCGTTCTGGTCTCTGTGTTCTGTCCGGCCTTTTGCTGCTTGTACTGAGCTGCTAATCTGCCTGCCTTTGCGGGCAGGTAGGTACTTGCTGGAATCATCCAGACAACACTGCTTGCTCTCTATACCTTGGTCTTTCAGGAGAATGATTGCTGTTATTATCTAGTTAATATTTGAGAGCTCGGATTGTGTGAAAGGCTGGCAGTGCATAATAAACACCATTTATCAAAATTCAGGGGAATTGCCAGAGTTCATTAATGTTTTAATAATATTTGGTATTTGCATAATGTCTCTGCCAACTCTTTTGTTATCTTCATTCTCTAGAGGTTGGGTGGATACTGATTGTATCCCCCCAGGACAGATGCTGAACTGGGGGTATGCAGAAGCTAGAGACACCAGGGAGGAGGTGAGGTACTTACCCCCCACCCCCATTCAAATGCTCACTACCCCTGGAGTGGTTACTTAGCTAAGTCTTGTTTATTTGTCATTGTCTTGGGACTAGGGATTTTAGGAACACAGCCTGGGAGTAGGGGACGTGATTGTGGTTCCATGACACAGATGAAGATACTAAAACTCAGTGAGTGTAAGAATCATCCAGGGAGCTGGAGAGATGGCACAGTGGCTGGGCCAATTGCCTTGCACACAAGCAACCCCGGTTGATCACCACACCCCAGATGGTCCATGAGCCCTGCAAGGAATGACCTCTGATCACTGGGGCTAATATCTGGCAGCAGTATTGATAAAACTCACATCAGCATCACTCTAGGACATGCTTCTCTCCTGCAAGAGACTATGTAGAATAGATGAATTAAATTCAAAGCAGGGGCTCTTCTTACCAGAAGTTTCTTATTTTAGCTGTGACTTCTTGAGTAATCCAAGCAGTGTCAGAAGTGATTTCTGAGCAGTCTGAGTTTGCTATTTTATTCTACAATAAGATCACTTGTGTGACTATTTGGTTGAGAAAATGCTGGTAATTTTAATGAAATGTTTAAATGCAGCAAGAGGCTGCACTCGCCGTCTGCCTCTTACTTACTGGCTGGGTGGTCTTAGGTTTTATTTTTTAATATGTTAAACGTGGATAACACCAATGCATTCAGAATTGTTATGTGCCTGCGAATTAATTTAGTAAGCGGAAAAGGAATATGTGTGTGATTTTATTATAAAGAAGTAGACAGGACTGGTAAACTAATGGGAATTGTTTCTGTAGCTTGGAGTGTAATTAGACGCAGCCTCAAAGGACATGGGCTCTGGCTAGAATGGACATGATTAAATCCAACATACCTTGCCATTTTTTAAAGCCTATTTTGAATGCTGGCCATTGTGCTAGCTATTTGCATATATCATTTAGTTCATTTCATTTTCTCCTAGCAACTCCATAAGGACAAATATCACCTTCCCTGATTTGGGCGTAAAGTAGGTGGTATCATTCCTTTTAAAGCTAAACACTGAGGCTTTCAGGAGAGACTTATACCAAGATCATATAGAATTTGTGTTTGAACCCTGATGTGTCTGACTCAAAAGCAAATGCTCCGGTTCCTTCTATATGGGCAGTCAGTTGTCACTGCTCTTTAGTTAGACAACCCAAAAGACCCAGTTTCTGGGAATAACGACTTTAGCCTTTTTACAGGCAATAGGTGGCATTCTTTTCCCCTTGTCTGATGATCTGTCTCTATTGCGTATCTCTCCCTCTCTTGCTTTCTATGCATTTAGCAAGCGTGTACTAAATGCTATTTATTTGCAGAAAGGTCATTGGATCAATCCTGAAGTGAACAGAATCTTTGAGAAATTTAACCTCCTGTCCTTTGTCCACTAATTCTAGAATGGTTTTCTTTGACTCTTTGTCTCTTTTTAGCCTCATCAATACCAAGTGTCCACTTCAAAGTTCTACACTTTCGCTGTGGTGCTTCTTCTGAATGCTGTAAGACCTGTCATATATTTAG